AGAGCTTGATAAAAAGTTAATAAGATATTTTGAAAATTAACATACTACAAGTTAGAATGGAATTATATATTAAAACCCAAAAAAGAAGAAATATTAACCTTAATAATTTATGATATTTAAACTAATATTTTTATACGAATTAGATCAAAAGATGAATTTGTTTAAATATAAGAGACTAATCTCTAAAAATATACATAAGAAAAGGATATATCTTGCAATAAATAAAAACCTATATCATTAAGGGAAAAATAGACACTTCTATAAAAAACTTAAAAGGCTAGTCAACAAGGCCAATTTGAATAATGCCCCTCAATATGATGGAAAACATAAAAAAGAAGTGAAACAGCTTCCCAACCTAACACTTGCAAAAAGAGAGAAAATAACCAACCAACAAACACCATGTACAAAACACCCACAAATAGACACAAAAACAAGTCTTTTACAATTCAAATAAACANAACACCATGTACGAAACACCCACAAAGAGACACAAAAACAAGTCTTTTACAATTCAAATAAACATCTATAAGTTGAAATTCTGAAGTTTCATACATATAGGTTAATATTAAAGCACCTTAACTATCATAGACCATACATACTCTATGAATTTATACTATAGTGAAGTACAGCTCTATTACTGTTCCTTGTTTATCCTTTTCCATCAAGTAGACAATCAGATAAAAGCACTGGATAAATAAAACCATTTTTCTTAGCCCGAGCCACTATTTGAGGATCCCTCTTCATTAGCCAAGAACCGGACGACGACAGTAGTGATGTTATCCGCGCTTCCTCTCTGATAAGCTTCCTGCATTAGCCTTTTAGCTGCTTCTTCTGGTTCTTGGATTGGCTTAACCATGGAGACGGCTTCCTGAGAATCAACAAAATTTATTAATTATTCCTGCTTCTCAAGGAGGAAATTTAAGGGTGTCCTTAAAAATTGAAGGCCAAGTGGTTAATGGAGCAAGTGAAAAGTATTCCAAGTAAAATTGGATAATCGGATATAGATTATATAAAAACTTAAATTGAGAAAAGGCAAACCTCATTAGTCACCACATCCCAAAGTCCATCGCTCGCAAGAATAAGAAACTCTAGGGTATTGTCAACCTTTTCCTCCTGCATTTTACACCCAAGAAAAGGAAACTAGCAATCAATTGCCATTTATGGACTATTACAAACCAACAGTATCACTCTTGATAAGATCTTATGTGTAATAAATCGTGCAAGAAATATTGTCCAGAATCTAAAACTTCTAGGATGGAAAAAAAAAACATTGAAATTATTGGACATATTGGAATTCAATGACGACTTACAATTACAAGAATGCATTCAAGACTGAAGCTTACTGTTATGTATTCAAAAGATATTTAGACACTAGTACATCCATGCAACATAATTTCTCTGTCACTTTCTAGTTTGTCTTGAAAATCTGTCATTTTCTGGGGGGAAAGAGAAAAATTTATGATGATCGGGCGTACAAAATCTGAAAGATCCCTGACAATCACTACTCCTGTTTGACAATGAACAACCCAAACATTTCTTTCATTTATATCTCTGTCGGATACTTGTTGGTCATTTTTAATGCATTGATGCAAGTTTCCAAACATACCTGAATTTCTGGATCAGCAACCACAAACTGCTTCAACAGCCTATCACCAAAAGCACGAGATACAGCAAGCACTCCTCCAACTCTCCAAGTTCCTGCAGAAAATATGAACAGAGTGGTGTGAAGTAATACCGAGTGGCAGAAACACATGATAATCGAGGATGAAACTCGCCATGCAGTCTGTACCTGCCCACATCACAAAACCTCCAGCATCTTCAATACGTTGACGCTCATCAGTTTGGTCTGGCTTGTGATCCCGAGAAACAGCAACAGCTGCAAGACATAATGGCACACTTTAATCTGATGTATAAAAATGTCCAGCAAGTAGCTTAGCGTAAACTCTCTGAAATCAACCATGTACGCAAAGTTTTTGCAATAAATTCAGCATCCGAACAGATTGGTATAGTCCATAAAAAATAAAAGAGAGAGCTGAAAATAAGAGGGGTGCAATTCTTGATACTGCATAAAAATCAACATATGAATCATTGGATATTTTGCATGATGACTTGTATTTCCTATTTCACCGTCCAATACATTTATCACAGCTGACTTCAGTTTTCAACATTTACTTCAGTAATTTTGGTTTCTAAGTGTTTTACCAATATCAATAAATTTCATAAAAAGGCAGCATGTATGTTCCTATTTGCATT